AAATTCGATAATGTTACCTCAGGGTTTGCAGTATTCCACAAGTATCTTCTATTGTGTCTTGAGAATACTGAAAACACTAATGTAAGATTGATTTATTTAAGTCAAACCTAGAAAGTTTTCTAATGGCAAACACTCTTTGAAGACAATGGGAACCAATCTGTCATCTCTACTCTTCCTGTTGTGTGCCACCATGAGAACAAAATAGACAGAAAATCACCTTTGCTTCGTACATCTTCCTTCAGCGGATCTAAACACAGCCAAAGCTGAAAATTCAGCCTTTTGACTCAAGTAATGTATAAATACTGATGCACCTATTTACCTGCAAGCAAGTAACTGAGACTCTTCCTTTTCTGCTGATAACAATTAAGTGTCTTTAAGTCATCATAATTATTTTTTTATACATTTACAATGAGACCTATCTTAAGGTACCGAAAAAAAAATTAGGGAATTCAGTGCCTAAATCCAGGCTGGAAAGAGGTGCCTGTTTCTTCTTGGTATTCACATAAGCTATGGTATGTTTTGATGTGGGGTTCCTTTAATTTCTCTGTTCGGGCTGTTCCATTTTGGATAAGCAATTAAAGAATCATTGGAGCAGAGGGGACTGGGTCTTCCACATCCTGGGCTATACAGTCATTCTTGATATGTTTACAGTACAAGCCCAGGATTCAAACTCAGGCTCAAGCCTAACCCCCCCTTTTCATCTATATGTAAATTATACTAAAGTAAGGCTCAGAGCCAGGATTTTAGGATTCCACCCACACAGGTTAAGGATCTAAGCCAATGGGATTACAAATAAGTGTAGATGTTCAAATCCTAGGTTAACAAAGTTAGGGCTTGTTAACTTGAGTTCTATTAACTCTGGCTAACATTGCAATGCAGACATACCCCTCATGCCTGCTATGTTTGGACCTTTGAGTTCTATTAACTCTGACTTACATTGCAATGCAGACATACCCCATACCCCTCATGCCTGCTATGTTTGGACCAATGACTCCAGTTATTTCATCCAAAATGGAACAACATCTACAGGAGCAACTGAAGGAGCTCCCATCAAAATACTCCAGAGTCCGGTGGATAGAGCACTCTCCTGAGAGGTCACAGACCCCTGTTCAAAACTTTTCTCCTTGTGAGGCAGAGGGTAGAACTAATCAAGTGAAAAACCTGACCACTGGGCTAAAGATTATAAGGCAGTCCTCCTTCCCCAGGCTCTTAAAATTAATGAAGAGAGGCTCCACAGCTAAGAATCTCAAAGCAGGGAGAGGCACTAAACACTCATTCCTTAGGCACCTATCTCCCGCAATTTATTTTAGTAAATCCTGATGCCTTAACAAGGACTTCATGAATCCCAGTGATTTGAAAATGCCTAAAAGTTAGATGTTATTATGCTAAGTGTATACTACCTAACACCCTTTGTGAATATAGCCACCCATCTTTTCGGTGAAATTTAAAACATGAGGCCCTGAATGCCTTTAATTAAAAAAACAAACATATAGCAGTTTTGCCAAGTATAAGGATATTAACCTTGATTTTCTATCCAGATTCTTTTTGTTTACAGTGTCACCTGAAAGTGAAACAGGTGTTGTGGCATTGTTATAGTCAGCATCCCAAAATACGTATGTACCAGATGCAATAAATATTTGTATGTTCCTTCACACTTCAACCACCATTCCAGAGGACATCCATCTAGGGTGCTAATACATCCATGTTGCTCCATGATAACCTTGTCTCAGATTTTGGAAGGCACTTGAGATTCTTAAACTTTGAGACAAGTGCTGTAACTTTCTTCAGAAATCTCATGTTGGTACCATCTTTGTGTGTTGTCAAATCTACAGTGAAAGTGTTCTTAAAATGAGCAACATGTACTGGATCATCATCCAAGACTGGTATAATGTAAAATATATGGCAGGATGTGGGTAAAACACAGAGGAGGAGATATGCTATTCTCCCCTAAGGAGTTGAGTCACAAATTTAATTAATGAATATTTTTAATGAGCATCAAAACCTCATGGAAATGTCTTCTGGGATGGTGGCAGAGGAACAACGGGACAATAAAATATTTAGTATATCTGAATACCTTACAATACCTGCTATAAAAGTGCTACTGGAACACTTTCAGGTGACATTGTAAATAAGAAGCAAGCAGCATTATCTCCTGCAAACTTCTTTCTTTTAGCAATTGGCTGGAGAAGAAGTAAGACTGAGTGAACTTGTAAACACTAACATTTTTTATTGTTTTGTTTTTTAATACAGTTAAGTAACAATCTACATTTGCAAGTTGTACATTCACGATAAAGGATCACACTACAATACTTGTATGAGAAATTGAAAAATACTATTTATTTTGCTTACCATTTTTACAATTCAAATATTTGGAATAAAACTATTATAAAGTGAGCATGGTACACACTGTATTCTGTGTTGTAACTGAAAATGTAGTAAACATCGTGGTTCACATTGTATTCTGTGTTATAACTGAAAACGTAGTAAACATCAACATATTTAATAAATTTCAATTGGTATTCTATTGGTTAGCAGTGCAATTAAGACCATGATTAATTGTGATTAATATTTTAATTGTGATTAATTTTTTAGTTAATTAGAATTAATTAACAGCCCTACTCTCACAACATGCTAAAGATACCAAATAAAGATGCATCTCAAAGGGAAAGTCAATGTTATGTAGAGTTTGCATGCTGTAAGCTCTATCCAGCTAGCCTTTAATGTAGTGACTTGTAGAGCCTGCTCATATCCACATCCACAAAACTGAACCATGGATATTCTGCATCCACTTCTGCTGTTAAGGATACAGAAGGATATAAAGTTGATATCCATGAATTTGCAAGGCTCTACTGGCTTGTAGATAATTAAATTACTGACCCTCTACAAGATGGGATTGAATCTGCTAAAATATTTTGATGTTATCCCCCTCCAGTGGCATGTTTATGTAGTCCTTTACTTTTGGCAGTTAATGGAAATCTCCAATATTGTAAGCAAAAAAGCCTGTGATTCAGGAAGAAATACTGATAGGTTTTTATTCACCACTCCAGCATTGACAGGAACAATGTCCAGTCCTTCTTTATTCTAATGAGGAGCATCACGCACCTTTGAATTAGGAAGAAAACATGTCACTATAAAGAGGAAAATACACTCAACATGGGAGATACTTGAGATAGCAAAAAGGAAAAAAATAAAGGAGCCCAAAAGAGAGAAACGGCTGCTATCTCATGACCTTTAAATATTTGTATCTTCCACTATGCTAATAAAGGATAAGGGTTGATGGGAGTTCATGCACACCCAGCTAAATTGTCTTTTCATATCAGTTTTAAAAGATGTCTTTTAAAAATGGAAGCTTTTGCAAGCTGGGAAACAAGGAGCTTTTGAGTTACAGAGGAGGAAGTGATACAAGTATCATAGGTGAGGTGCAGTGCTACAGACATAACCAGACTGACTGTAGGGAGAAATGGGAGAAAGGAAGGACATGTCATTTCTTTCTGTTATTTCTGTCTGTAAAAGAGTCAAAAGGCCATTGCAAATGTGTTGCTGCAATAAACTGTGGTTTATTAATAAACCAGCAGGAGTCCTTGCCAACATATGTTACACTATTGATGAAGTTTTTACACACTCTAAGTGCTAATATTGAACCCATACTTGTTTTAAATATATTTTGGAGCCTTGAAGCAAATCATTCTTCTGTGAGAGAAGTCTCTCAGGCTACATCTACACTGGCGCTTTCTCACGCAAAAAATCTTTTGCGGAAGAGTTCTTCTGCAAAAACTCTTCCAGAAGAGAGCGTCTACACTGGCATGTGCTTTTGCGCAAGAGCATCCATGCCAGTGTAGACGCTTTCTTGCACAAGAAAGCTCTGATGGCCATTTTAACCATAGGGCTTTCTTGTGCAAGAAATTCATGTTGCCTGTCTACACTGGCCTCTTCTGGAAGAGATCTTGCGCAAGAGGGCTTATTTCTGAGTGGGAGCATCAGAGTTCTCGTGCAAGAAGCCCTGATTTTATACATTAAAACGTCAGTTTACTTGTGCAAGAACACGCGGCCAGTGTAGACAGGCAGCAAGTTTTTGTACAAGAGTGGCCACTTTTGCGTGAGATCGCGCCAGTGTAGACACAGCCTCATATTTTAATGACATAGTTTTCAGATTTGTTAAGCAATTGCAGCTCTCACTGAAATCAAGGGACCTCTGGGTGCTACACCCCTCTTAAGTCCTTCTCTGTAGATCTTTTATGCACACTTATGCATATACTATTTTGCAGTTTATTAGATTTTATTTGTTGTTTATTTCTGTTAAAATAACAATAGAACATTGCACCATCTAGCTTATTTTCAAAATGAAAAACCAAATATTTAAACTCTTATGAAGTTAAAATAGAGGAGAGGAAAGTGGATTCATAATCTGTCTAAGTACACACCGGTTTCAGTACTGGTAACTTTAATAATAATCTATTATTATTCTAGAGTCTGAAATCAGCACTCATGAGCTGGCTACTGGTGCTCATACAGAAAGACCACTAGATTATCAATATGAGAACACCATGTCAGGCTTCCAAATTGCTTTTGAAGTGGGGAACCAGCTTTTACCCAACTTGCTTCAGGAATATAGTCAATTGTTTCAAGTTAGGAACAATTATAGGTGCAGCCATTTATAAACTAATTTCACTCCAGAATCAGTGAAAACTTGGATTATATGGAGGACCATAGTCCTGATTCTCACCTGAACTACTGTAGTATATATCAAAATCCACTGATTTCCATAGAGTTATTTTAGGTCTACATTGGCACGAGGTAATAATCCACTGCAATATCGACTGACCAATTCTCCACGGAATAAAAAATACTTCCATATGATAGTCTCACAACACAGGATAAACCCTATCTTTTCACTGTTACACGAAACTCATCCTCCACTAATAGCATCCACTCACTATTCATGCAGGAATGTTAAGTGAATGTGAATTTTATGCATCAAATAATCAGGTATGTTGCTCCTCTGTTTTTATTTAGTCAGCCATTTCTAATTTCTTTTCACTGCAACTTTTTAAAATGCAATCATAATACAACCACCTTCAGTTGTTCCTGAAAACACTATCATTTTTTAATATTAACAAAGTGAAAATATTACATGATTTTCTTCAGGAATCACAGTAACTATCTGCTAACAGCTCCATTGAGATCACGGAGGCACATTGGCTTTAGACTGCCACAGTTATTCTATTTTCATGCTTTACCAGAACTAATGCTTGCCACTTTTTTTTAGAGTAATAACTTCAAACAGCATCCAAACTAACCAATTTTGACTGCAGCTCTTTTGTGATATCAACGGCAAGGGAGCCTGAATGAAAAAAAGAGGATTCATAATGCAAACTATTATATTAAGGCCAAAAAAATCTAGATTGCTGTTCGGAGTTTCTCAGTAAAAATACTTCAGCAGTCACATCAGTTTCCTCCATCTCTCCCAGTCTCAATGTTATTATTTCATCTGTTATTACCTCTATTATATATGGTGATTCAAGTCCCAAAGGGTCACCTTCAGAAACTTTCAAAACTGAGCAATGCAATATACAAACTTATGAAATCAATTCAGTTGAATTGAAGATCCAATAGGCAGCACCAGTTCACTACACAAATAATGTAGTCCCTTTTGTGTCACTTTCTATTAGAAACATTCATAAAGATGATAAGCAAATTAATAACTGAAGAAAATAAAAGAAATCTCACTACATATTCCATGAAATTTTTTTTTTACCATAAGCATCCTAATTTCTTAGGATACATGGCTACCAATTACACAATTAACAGGACAGTAATAAAAGATAATAGATTTTGGGTTTGGTATGCACATGATAGGGTAGGAGGAATTATTTTATGGTAGATATTTAAAATATGAACATAGAAAAAAGATCTATTTTCATCATGGAAATGGGAAAGATACTTTTGTAAAATGCAAACAAAAAGGCACAATAACTTAAAACCAACAGACGATATTTAAGTTCTAGCTAATGCCACCTGTGAAATATTCTCATGCTGAACTGATGAAACCTCATGGAAATTTTGGCAACTGATTGGTGTGCCATTGTGACAGGTTTTGTTGATGTGATAACAATTGTGAATTCCAATACCTTTCACTGTTATGAACAAGTGTGTTGAAGAAAACGATTTTTATCAATACATGATTGATGGCAAACCATCTTTGAATGTATAGAATTTGAATGCCTAGGGATGATAATGGCTTGTTGGGTCTCTGCAGGCCCACTGACAGGGAGGAGTCAAGGAGGACAAAGAGGGCAACTGCCTGGGGGTGCAGTGATTCAAAAGGACCCAGGACTCATATTTGTTGCTGCTGCTGCTATTGCAACAGCAGTAGGACCTCCAGGCCCTTTAAATCATTGCCAGAGCCCCAGGCAGCACAAAGAGCTGCCAGGGGAAAGCTAGCCCCCAGACCTACCCCTTCTGGGAATATGGAGCCAACAGCCCCCTTCCCCCTTACTCAGGGACCTGGCAATTCTTGCTTACCCCCTAGATCTCTGAATCCATTCCCCTGCATGGATAGGATGTTATTCTATTACATTAGAGTTCAAACTTCTTGTCCTAGCCTCTAAGGGTGCGTCTACACAGCACCTGAAACTCAAAATAAGATATGCAATTTGTGCTACACAGCACCAAATTTTGAAATACAGCGCTATTTTGAGCCATCGCTTAACTCCTCATACAATGAGGTTTACAGAGATGGAGAAATATCAGATGCATTCAAAAGACGTGGGGTAGCTATTTCAGGATATCTCTGGTATTCTGAAATAACTTTGCTGTGTAGACATACCCAAAACACTTCACATTTCCATCCACCATCATTTTTTGCTCTCATCTTTTTTTGTATTACCCCTCCACTTTGCCAACAATGCTAGTCATTACTACTCACACCTGCTTTCTTGCACGCTGTTCCTTATCCACAGCACATCTGTCTGAATTCACCTGTATTACTTTCTCACCCAAATCCCTCTATAAACCTATTGCTACTTATAATTATTTTGAAAAGTATCAGTGGCAATCTAGAGAATAGATAATTAATAGGGGCATTCTGGCTAGCTGGATACAAGCATCCAACTGGCTACCCATAATTTCTGCTGTCGTTGATCCAGCTATGAATTGGTTATACTTTGTAGCTCGAAGCATCAGACTTTTTGCCAACAAGAATTAGGCAAAATAATGCAATCAAAAATGAAATGCTTACTTCAATGGAGCATCCACCTGCTGTTTTGCTTATTTTCATTTTCTTTTATTTTGAACGTAAAATATTCTTTTTACAGAGGCAAAATTGTTGACAGTCTATGAGTTGATGGGATGTTTATGATTCACACAGACTGTAGTGTTAAAACTCCAAGGGTACGTCTAGACTACAGGCTTTTGTCGACAGAAGTTTTGTCGACAGTATCTGTCGACAAAACTTCTGTCGACAAAGAGCGTCTAGACACAGTCACTTCTGTCGACAAAGCAAGTTGCTTTGTCGACAAAACCCTGTAGTCTAGACACAACCCTACATGCAATAACACCTTCTATCGACAGAACTCTGTCGACAGAAGGTGTTATGCCTCGTAAAATGAGGTTTACCAGCATCGACAAAACTGCTGAGTTCTGTTGACGTTATGTCAACAGAACTCAGCGGTAGTGTAGACGCAGGTATAGTTTTGTTGACAAAAGTCCACTTTTGTCGACAAAACTCTGTAGTCTAGACACACCCCAAGAGTTCTAAATCATACAGTGCACCTGTGTTCTCTTCAGCTTCTTTTTTCTGGATTAAAATAAAATGTCACAGTACTACACAAGAAACGTAGTGTGGAACACTTGGATGAAATATCAAAAAAGCAAGCATTTTAGAAAAAAATTATGAATGGCAGCTGCATTTTTGAAAATAAACATTTTAATCTTGTAGTAAAAATATTTTTGAGTGGAGTTAGGAAATTTGCAACTGATTATTATGAACCAACTTATTCTGAAGGCAAAACTACAATAAAGTATCCAAATTTGTGTATTTTGAGGTCTCCTGTGAGGTGCTGAGCACTTTAGTTTCCACAGAAATAGAGGGAGCTCAGCAACTCTCGGGACTGGACCTATGGCACAGAAATTGCTATTTTTTATTATTTGCATTTCAGGAGTAATTAGAGACCCCAATCTATATTAATATCTGCTACATGTACGCAAAGGGTATGTCTAGACTGCATCCCTCTGTCGGCAGAGGGATGCAGATTAGGCAGGTCGACAATGTAAATGAAGCGGGAATTTAAATATCCTGCTCTTAATTTGCATTAAAATGGCTGCCGTTTTTGCCGACTCAGCAGTTTGTCGGCAAAAAGAGGCAGTCTAGAGGGGAATCTGTCGAGAAAGAAAGCCTTTTTTGACAGATCCTGTAATCCTCCTTTCAGGAGGCATAAGGGATCTGTCGAAAAAGGCTTTCTTTCTCGACAGATCCTCCTCTAGACTGCTTCTTTTTGCCCACAAAGTGCTGAGTCGGCAAAAACAGCAGCCATTTTTATGCAAATTAAGCACGGGATATTTAAATCCCCGCTTCATTTACAATGTACACCTGCCTAATCTGAATCCCTCTGCTGACAGAGGGATGCAGTCTAGACATACCCAACGAGAGAAACAGTCCCTACCTTAAAAAGCTTAAAGGCTAAATTAGACAGGAAACAGAACACAGCAGGAAGGAAAGGATACAATATATAAGCATAACATTGGGATCTGAGACATTCACTAGATGAAGGTCATATTAGAAGACTGTGAGACAGCCAGAAACCAAAGCCACATCTGCTGAATCTTAGTCCGGTGACTTAGCCACCTTCCCCTTTCTTTGTCTGCAAATACTGAATTCCATTCTTCTCCAAGCTGCGTAAGTGCCCCTGATTTTTTTCTCTCAAAAATTCTTCTTCTTACTTCTCTCTGTTTGTATTTCTTTCCAAGATATGAGATTTGAAAGTGCTAAAAATATTAGATTTCATAAGCAATTGTTCACATCTAAGTCCTTTTTTAACATTATCTGTGTTCAAAACTGGCCCAAATTATACCTTTATGATCTCTTTTACAAAAGCTGCTCATCACTTAGGTTCTTTTCCTCCCTGAGGTGTGAGAAAGTACTGTGTGTTTTGCCTTCAACAGAGAAACAAGAAAAAATATTTTGATCCTCTAGTGGGTGGAATTACCAATATGTAGCCTACATACAACTCCCAAATATTTAAAGTTATGTGCAACAGCAGATGATAGAATGGAAATGGCACATATTTCTTTACTTTTTTTTTTTTGGTGTGAAAACTGTACTTCAGTTGAGTAAAATTATTAATAGAAAATAGCCTCTAGAGAAAATTCAGCAACAGCGTCTACAGATATATTCAAAGAAATCTGTTCCTCCTACAAATATCTTTCAAAGTAAAATTATAGCTCAATAATGAAGATGTATTTCCATCTTAAAGTTAGCAGTAAATATTTTACTAGCAGTCTCCTGGCATATTTTCAGCTCTGAAAGAATAAATATTTGCATGCAATACTCAGCAATCTGCTTTCACAGTTAAGTGAAAGATTCTAAAAATACATTTTGCTAGTACACTCTGAATTGGCAAACTCATGGCACCCAAACTCTTATTACTGTTTTCCATTGAGCTCACTGGGCAGTGGTCATGCCTTTAAAGTAGCAGAAATTTAAAGGCCCATGTGGGGTAATAGAAGAAATTACAGCCCTAAGCTTTGAAACTTTACTGATTACTTTACTGAACTCTCTGGGGGTTAAATATGCTTTAGAGTAGGCCTTGATATTCTGTGTGATTCAGCATCAGCTAAAATACTGTCTTTCTATACCAAAAACTATTTGCAAATAGAATGGAAATATAAAATGCAAAATCCTAAATTAGAAGTTGCACTCTGATGCAATCCCAGATGCTTTACGACAGGGCTAGACAAACTACAGCTCACAGGCCATATCCAGTCCATAGGAACTTTTCATCTGGCCCTCGTGATCTCACCAGGGAGCACAGCTGGGGACTTGACCCAGTCTTCCTGCTGCTCCTCAGGTGGAATACCAGGTGGGTGTGGGTCAAAGCTGGTGGTAGTGCTGGGGCACCATTTTTTCCAGGGCTCTCCCATTGGCCAGGTCCCCTGGGCATGGCCCTTCAGCTCAGTGGCTAATCCCCCAACGAGAGGGAGGTGAGGCTAGTGAGCATTTGCAGCTCGCCATGCAACTTGCCTATTCAGATGTGGCCCTCAGCCCAAAAGGTTTGCTCATTCCTGCCGTATAACTTCTCAGGGCATGTCTACATAGCCCTACGGCAGCATGTACAGAACACACAC